TAAAATATATACATGTACGCCAAAGATAGTTTAGACTTCATTGCAGTGTTCGTTGTAGAAAGATACTAATGAAAGCACAGGAATAGCTTTGTCTGAAAGTCAGACTTGGAGCAACCTGTGCCATTTGGAAGAGTCATTCCTAAGCTACTGAAATCCATTTTAGTGAAAGGCCTTTGCACTTAATTTAACAGACAGTGTCAGAAAATAGGATTTGATCCCTGACAATGGCATTTAATAAAATTATAATCTCAGTGAAGTCACTTAGCTGCTGTCAGTCTTACAACCTTTTTTATAACCTGGGATAGATGATACCTACTTCATGAGATCCCATGGAGAACTTAATGAAATAATGCTTTTAAAGAGTTTAGACTCTTATAAATAAATACCAGTTTTCCATTTCTAACCTGTAAACATCTTTAGGTTCCAACTTGAGGTTTTTGGTCTTCAGTTGGTATTTAAAAATTATATCTAAATGATCAAGTTTCTCAGCTGCTCACTTAATATTAACAGGTCACATTAGAAATGGCTCTGTGGGCAATTATCAATAGCAGAAGGGACAAATTTCAACAAGAAAACCAATGGAAAATGATCTCTTTTCCTTAATCACTAACAGTTATTGTAACAGGGATCAGAGAAACTCAGACATCATTAATAAAATTTATAGATTAACAATGTGTAGAATGTGTAGTTTAGAAACATTTTTTCTCAAAAGTTTTAAGTGTGCTGTTCAGTCATTTTTACTATTTCTTTCAGATACAAACAGTATGTATTTATTTGATCTACTTGATGGAGTTTAAATTATACTGTTAGGCAAGAGACCAAATTTCATTGGAGGACTGATTACAGTGAAAATTGGTGGCATTATTGCTTGGTTTTTCTTTCCCTAACAACTTTTTCCAAAATGAAGAAGTAAATTACTCATGCATTTGAAATACCAAAACAAGATATTTATTTGTGCCTTGTTTCTTGGCACAGTTACTTGTTAAACAGTTTTCACAGTTGCTTCTAAAACAGTTTATATTTAGTTTTGAAATGCTTTTTAGCGAGAAACGGAAAGCCATTACCTGGTTCTTAAAAATATAGGTATTGTCTACATAACGATGCAATGGTTGGGAAGCAACCTACAGTCAGAATAATATATTGCCATTTAACATTTTACTTGTAAAGAGATAAGGTTTTACTTGTAAAGTTCTTTTACAAAAAAAAGAGAAAGGATATACTGTCTAGGAAATATTTAACTTCTGTATATTATCCAGAAGATAATTTAAAAAACATAGTAACATTTTGAGATATTAATATTAGAAGTTGATAACTTTTTTAGTGATCTTTAAGAAAATAGTTCATTGAATATAATATGCAAAGAGCTTTAACGTATAAAATAAACTTGTCTTTTACTTTCATTGTAATTCACTGCTGTATATGTTTTCAGAAGTTTTAGCATTAGTAATAAAGCTTGTGCAATATTTTTTTAAATTTAAGCTTGTATTTGTCATTATCTTTTGTACCAAACCATCCAGATTTGGATGTGAAATTTACATATCTAATTGTCATAATATTTAATATATTAAATGGTAATTAGAGTTGAGGTGTTTGGGAAAACTATTCAAATAATCGTATAGTTATTAAATAAGAATAATACTTAAATTTTTCTGATGGTGGATCTGTTTTCATTTAAAATTTCATCAAAATAAGTACAAAGGAATAGAAGATCCCGAAGATTGTGGTTGCATGCAGTTCTACTGAATGTGTTTTATCTACAAAGCCAGAATAAAATGTGTCTGAATACGAAATTAGTTTATTGTAAAACATTAACTCTCACTTCTTTTTAGCTCATTTAGATCTATTACTATGCCTTCAGAGCAGACTAATACTTTTCAGTTTTACTGGTATCAGATAAAGGAAGACTGCTCTTTACGACCTTAGTCTTTAAGATCTTTTGGCTTTTTTGGCCATTATGCATATAATCATGTAATGAACTTTTTAGAACTTTGAAAATTTTGTGGTGATATTATGGAATATACTAAGTTTCTAGGATTTCTGTGTTTTTGTCATGTATATCAATTAAAATTCTTGAAAAGGTAACTGTCTTTGCCAATATAATTCTTTTGGGAAAGCAGGAAGAGGTAGGTGAGTTTCTTATATTGGACATGAAGCTCAGGATTTACTGTGATTTAAAGAAAACCAGTATTTGAGAGTAGTTCTTAAGTACATTTTAGGGCTGTCTATATTTGAAAAGTAGGTTTAATCTAACCATTTTATTTATTTTTATTTATAATTATTTAAAATTAATGTGTATTGGGCCAGGGATTTAGCTCAGTAGTTCCACTTCCTGCCTCAACAAGCATAAGGTTCTGAGTTCAGTCCCTGGTTAAAAAAAAAATTCATCTGTAAAATTAATGTGTATTTATTTTGTATTTTGTGTCTTGGGACCCAGCTTACCATGTGAACTTTAGAAATTCAAGTGACTTAGAAACATTTCATTAAAAACATTGATTCTGTTTTGTGAAACATGAGAATATGATTCATTTTATTATGAATTTATTGTTTTAAAATAATTGCTGTTTTAAAATAATGAACTCTATATAGAATAATGTCTCCCAAAATGTTACTTATGGGGACTCTTATATAAAAATTAATTTACTGCTACATGGTAATGTTTGTACTCTTGTCATAACTGCACAGTTTTCTTTATTTATAGTACCATAAAACTCCCACATGGATTGATGGAGGCAGTATAACAAGTGCATAAGGATTCAGAGAACCTTAGTAGTAATTTTGTAGCTTTATAATCTGGACACCTTTGGTATAATAGTGGTTTGTAAATTGGAAAGCATGTTAAAATTCAGATTCTCAAGTTTCTACTCAGATAATGATTCTGTAGGTCCAGGTAACTACATTTAATGTAGGAATCTTGATAATTGTGATATAGATTGCTTAGGAAGGAAGTTTGGTCTTAATTCAGACTTAAGTAAGTACTTCTGTACTCTTACGTTTTTTTAAGAATGAGAGTTCTTGGACATTGCTGTGTGGTGGTTATTATTCTAAGTTACCCAGTTGTTCTTTCCCAGTCCTTATTTCCTTTGTCCTCACTGGTTCATGTACCAGAATCTTGAGGGCAGGGGATGGAAAAGGAAGTCTAGGAGGACCAGGAATACTTCCTGGGTCAGAGTTACTCTGTAAGTGCATTCTGGAGTTGATAAAAGAGGAATCCACAGGTAGTCTCTCTGTTTCAGTGAATCTTAGGCCTATTTATGCCTCCCTGGTAGAGTAAGTTAAAAACCTTTCCTTATGTATTTTCGAACATTACTTTTTAGAAGGATGCTATAAGACTAGCTTCTCTTAAATAGATGCTTTCACTACAAAATATTAAGGAAAATTTTTTTATGGTACAGTGAACATTTACTGATTTTTTTTTTGGTACTGGGGATCAGACTTGGGTCCTTGCACTTGAGAGACAGGCGACGGCACCACTGAGCTAAATCCCTGGCCATTTACTGATTTCTTGAATTAAATATACATTTATTATCTTCAAACATAAGACCTAAAATAAATTTTCATTGTTATCATTTTGTGTTGCAGTTGAAAAGTAGCACTTTAGAAACTTGTTTGCATATAAATTTTCAGATGTTCAGTACTGAGTATCAGTCCCTCAACATAATTTTATTGTTTCAACAAAATTTTAATTAAAAATTTAAACAACCCAGGATTTTATGTGGGTTTTGCAGAATTTATTGTAGGTGTAAAAGCTGTTAATTGTGTCTCTTGTCCTAAAGGCTTTTTAAAACTACCAGTTCTGTATATTTAGGATATTATATATTCCAGGGTCTTGCATTTTCTAGAGCTGTGCTTTATGGACACCTGGGGTCTTGCTGAAGTGCAAAATCTCAGGACCTCTGCATTTTAATTAAGTCTTCAGTGATTAGAACGCACATTAACTAAATTTGAGAAGTATTGTCATGCAGTGGTGGTGAACTTAACTAAGCACCAGCTGCTGGAGGCTATTTGATTCATTGAAAGCTCTAAAACAGTGATATCAACCTTTAAGTTCTTTCAGTGGTAACAAACAGCTTACTCCACTGGCTTGCCATAGGTTCCCCACCACTGCTCTAGAAGGTTCCCCATTTCTGTGGGAATTCAGCTTTACACTGTGGCCTTTTGCTTCTGTCTTAAGTCAGAAGTTATTTTTAGGAGTTCCAGTTTTATTTGTATTTCCATTTCCCACCCTTCCATACTTGTACCTTAGAATGGGATTGAAACCAACAAGGAATTTTTGACTATAGGCAAGCCTAAATCTGAATTGGATTTATGTGAGTGGTGATGGACCTACGACATAGTCTTGGGAATGCCTAACACAGCTGTCTGAATAAGTCTCAAATAGCATACTTTTAATTGCTAAGAATCGGAGGAAAGAGACATTCTACAGAAATCTGGAAGTTCTCAGCTGACACAAGTGCACTATGGGAAGAGTTTGTGAGCAGGAAAAAGATAATTATATATCAAATTAAGATATATCAACTCTGCCTCTAACATACTAGTCCTACTTGGCCATGAGTGTGCTCTTTCTAGGAGCTGTTCCCCAGGTATCCACTTCCTGGACTTTTTAAAGTCTTTTCTCACCTAATAACTTACCTGATAACTATTTTACTGTTACTGCCCACTTCCTTAATTCCTTTGTGCTACATTTTTCTCTATTTCTTCATCAGCTTTTAAAAACATACTGCATACATTGTTTCCTATACTCGTTTCTTATTTGTTTTGTCACTATATAAGCTACATGAGGGCAGGGGTCTTTGTTTTGTTTTGTGTTACATGCCAATTGCCTAGAACAGTGCTTGGCCCATACTACATGCTAATACTGTATATTTATTGAATGAATAAATAAACTCTGTCCTTATCTGTTTTTGTATCTGTGCTTGTATGTGAATGACTTGATGCTAATACAAAATAAAATGAGACATGAATAATAAAGTAAAATATAGTGAATTATTTTTTATTAAGAAATAGAATTTACCTATTTATGGATAAATGTTCATTTGCAATATTTTCTTATATATTTTTTTAGAGAAAGTCTGCCAAATATGTCTTTGTTTAGTTAACAGGGTTTACAGTTAGGTCTAATATGCTCCAACATTACAGATAACTAATATTTTAATCAACCACGTGGCTTATTTTATTGCTTTAATTGTATTTAATGAAAGCTAGTACTGATTATATTGTTAGACTTGCCTTTGTGGCAAGAAATAATGTATTAGGCTCCAGATTATGCCTTGCTACTTAGAACAGTACAACTCTGAATCTAATACTTTTCAAAAAGGCTGTTTTGTTTAATTTCACTTTTTATTTATATACAAGTATATCACTTTTGATTTAAAGATCATTTTTCTTTTCTTTTCTTTTTTGTTTCATCTTATTTTTGCAGACAGGCTCGAGGAGAGATCATCCTCAGATAAGAATGTAGACCCACTTTCTGCTCCACATACCCATCCTCCAGAAGATCCTTTTGGTTCTGTTCGTTTCATTTCTCATTCAGGCAAGTTACATATATAGCATCACTATCATTAAAAAATATGTATAACAATAAAACCTTATTAATATAAAATGAGAGTAAAAATCAGCTGTTAGTTACGGAGGTAGAATAGAATATTTTAATCTTTAGCTGCCCTTGTCTTCCTAATGTTTGTTGCATTGGGATATTCAAGTGTGTGTTTGCCAACTTAGAAAAATGTTTATCTATATAATAGCAACATAACTAAATTTTCAACTTTATTATTGGATACTGTTTTTGAAAACCCACATATGAAAATATTTTTCCATTTTTTATAATTAAAATATATCTAAAGATACTTTTATACTTAGTATTTGCTTAAAAATATGATATTTTCCTAGTTTATACATCTTGTAGTTACATTTAAAAAATAGTAAATTTTTTTTGGGGGGGCATAGTCTTTTTGTTTTAGCTACTTATTTCTTATAGTAGCCCAGCTTTTGATTTCAATCCAGAATTTATGTATTGACTAGTTAAAACTATATTTAGTAATAATTTCAAAGTAATTACACTGTTAATAATTACAAAAATAGGATGGAAAAAGAATCTCACTTTGGCATAAATAAATTTTTTTTGTGTGTTATAGTCACAGTGAAAAAAATCAGTTTTAATCTTGGTGAAGGGAAATATGTGGTAGGAAATTACGCTTGTTAGAAGGTGAAGGTTTAGTTCACAAAAACTGTCAGCCTTGCTTTTTGGTTCTGTTCTTTAATCCCTCAGGTAAATTACATAATAGTGCTCCTTATCACTACCATTTTAAAGGCACATGGAAGAGTAACACCAACAGGAAAGCTTAGGAGTACAAAGCCAAAAGAAGAATTGAATGTTCAGAATTTCTAACAGATAACATACAGCTTTTAGATATTTAATTTGGTTGTCAAGTACATATAACACGGTTTTGATACTGTTTCTAACTGCTTTCACACCCTATATTTTAGTTTTTACTATTTTTGAAAACAGTCTGTATTCTTAACTATTTTCTGCTGGCTGCACTCAAGTTGTCTCTTTCATGGACAACTTGACAGCCTTAACAGAAGAATAGCTATCTGTGTGAATTTACTTAATCTGCATATATATATATATATATAATTGTGCTCCTCTACATCCGCAATATCCTAGGTTACAAAGCTGATAATTTTTAAAATTATAATATCTCAAAATAATCTTTGTTAGTCTTGAAGAACCAATGATGTCAGGTACTCATTTGTGTACAGAAAACATTTTCTAGCTTTTTTTCCCACTCTGTAAGGAGTTGCATTGTCCTTTTAACGTTGGCACAGACCTCTGCAGTGACATTTTTGTTCTTTAATAGCTCCTGATAGTACCCTGGGAAAATAACTAGTAGCTTCAGGAGCTGGAGTAAATTTCAACACTTGGTCTTTTCTCTGGATACTGTTATTTGAAGTTGAAGTTGACCTAGAGATTTTGAAGTTAGCAATATGCTTATGTATTGAGCTCAGTTGTTGCTATTATGTTGTTTGACTTATATATATGTAATGCTGCATTGGTTTGGAAGCATGATTGTCTTTTGATACTACCCAGTAGCCAACCTAATTGCTACTTAATAATAGTCAATGAACATTTGACTAGTTTACAAAATTATCACTATCCATAAAAGATACCATTTGATATAAATGTCCTCCCTCCAGAAAGTTTATTAGACATGTTCATGTAAACATGGTCATTAGGATGATTTAGTTATGAGAAATTAAGTAAATAGAACAAAAGAGTGAAAGATCATAGTAGTAGTGTGCCTCCAGAGGAAAAAGAAGTAATCACTATTCAGCATTATTAACTCGATAATTATCAGATTCAAAAAATGTAAAGTAAAATGATATAGTCTCACTGACTTGTGTGTTACAAAGCTTAAATAAACTATCATATATAGTTTTTAAGTATAAATGAAATATTGGTGGTATTCATTTTCCTTTAATATTAAGGTAATTTAATCTACTGAAAAAGAATTATTTCTCCCCCTAAGGTTAGGGGAAAGTTTGAAAAAGTAAAGGGGATTCTACTCAATGAATATGTATTCTACCTAATATTCTAAGACTATAAAGCTTCTGGAGATTTCTAGGAATAGGACAAAGAAAAGCAAGAAATGACTCCTAATTATGTGTGTGTGTATATATACACAGTGCAAAATATGTGTATGTGATAAGCCATCTTCTCACTTGGATTTGAGAGTTAATGATTACTAAACAATTTTAAGTAAATCATACGGAGAATGTTACTTGAGAATAAAGTCACGAGGCAGAAGGGTAAGAATTTAGCAAGTTTAAGTCTATTAATATGCATTTAAGAACCACTATTCTGAATCTAGTGTTCCTTACACTGCTTTTATTAGGAATTCTGTTCTTTGTATTTAAAAAATTCTGTTAGAACCTTATTAAAGTTTTTTTCTCTTTTGGTGGTCTTGGGAATCAAACCCGGAGCATAAACTCATGCTAAGCAAGTGCTTTATTACTGAGCTACACTTTAAGTCTTAACTTTGTAATGGATTAGTTTTCATTTTATCCTTCTTGAGTTTATCATTACTATTAAAAAAAACCTTTTTTGTTGTTTTTTGGTGTTGGCAATCTAACCTAGGCCCTTGCACATGCCAGGCAAGTGTGCTACCCATGAACTTTATTCCTAGTTTGTCATGTTTTTGAGATCCAGTCTGTTTTGTCCAGGCTGGTCTTGCTACTGGCTTCCTCCTTCGGCCTTCCATGTAACTGAGACTATAGGCACATATTAATTTTTTTTTTTTTGTACCAGGGATTGAACTCAGGTCCTTGTGCTTGCGAGGCAGGCAGAAGATATAGTAATGTTTTTTTTCAGAGACCACAATCACAAAAGATTAAATTAAGACTGTATTTTGGGAGACTGAGACTGTACCTCACAGGCATGTGCTGGGCGCTGTGATTATCCCCATCTTGCGCCACCCCCACTATCTACTGATGATCTAGATGTCTTAGTTTAGGCAGACAGTGTTCATGTGAAATGGATTAACAATGCATCTTCAGAATGTATCCTCCTGTATTCTTGGGGTAGGGTGCTTTTTTTCAGCTTTTATTTTTTGTGAGTACACAGTGATTACATTCCATATGGGGAGTTCATACATCTACATAATACATCCCAAATCATTTTGCATTGTTCTCCCTCCTTCCCCTACTCTCTTCCTCCATTATTGGACCCCTTTCCATTTGAAAAAGATTTTCATACTTCCTATTATTTGTCTTTTATTTTGCTCTTTATTATATTTTGGGAATCTCATATAAAAGAAACCATGGGATATTTTAAGCTTGTGTATCTGACTTATTTCACTTAACATTATGCTCTCAAGATGCATCTACGATGAGGTTTATCCTTCTTTATGGCACTGTAGTACGTCATTGTATACAAATAGTACATTTTCTTCGTCCATTTATCTTTTGATGGGTATATAGACATTTCCAAGATTTAGCTATTGTGAATTGTACTGCTATATGCGCGTGTATGTGGGTATCCTTATAATAAATATCTTTAACTTTCAGGTACATACCTAAAAGAGGTGTTGACATATGGCTGAATCTAATATATATCCTTCCCCCATTCTTTCATCATAGTTTTGACACAGTTTTTAGTTGAATCAGTGTTCAATCTGTATATTTGTGACTATAAATAATTATCACTATTGAGGTCCAGTATTACCATGATTACATTTCCTTTCTCCTGTAAGGTTTTGTTTTTTTCTGGAATTGATTACTTTGTTTATAATTACTGTGATTTTTGTTTGCTTAATTTTTTATGCATCTGTCATTAATTCATCTCCATTTGAAGTGTAAGTTTCCTTTTAATCTTAAATTGGCTATCATTTTTATTTGGCTACATATCTTATGGAGCTGTCCAATCTGGGCAGGACACACACTTTTAATCCTAGTATTTTCTTTCCTCCTTTAGCTTTCATGGAAATTTCTGTCTCCTGTATTCTTCCTTGGTTTATTGATAGAACAACTAACTCTTCTAGTCATTTCTTGAGAAGGTATGCATGGCAGGAAAAGTTTTAAACTTTGCTGCCAAAAAATATCTTTCTTCCCCAAACTATAATTTGATTATTTGCCTGGGAATTAATTCTAGGTATAATTTTCTCTGTGAATTTTATAGGGACTGCCTCATTGTATTCTACCTTTTCATATTACTACCAAGAAATATGATACCATTCTGATCACTGATCCTTTATCCATGACTTTGGTTAGTCCCCCTCTTCTGTTTTGTTATTTTCAGCACCTTACTAACTTGCTATAAATATTGAAGATATTTGACATTGTATTGGGTCATTTTTTTGCCATTGTACTTGGGACCTGGGCCTTTTCAGTCCAGAAACTTAACATTTTCTTACTTTCTATCTTTTGGTAATTTTCCTTTCTCCCCCAACCCCTCCATCTTCCCTTTTTAAAAACCCTGTTACTAGTATATTACACCTTGTAAATTGATCCTCTACCATTTTTTCATTTTCCTTCTCTGTGCCTTTTATATTTACATCTTAGCAATTCCTGTAGATTTATATTACACACATTTTAAATTACAAATAGTGTCATATTGTTTCTTGGTTGCAGTATATTTTCATTTCTCTGAGATTACTTTAGTTTTGCATATTCTTGTCATCATTTTTCTTTTCTTGTGTACTCTTTTCAGTTTAAGAATTTTAACAGTTGAAGAGCAATGCATTGTTTCCCAGACAAGGTAGCAATTAGACTGAGACTTGGTGGATGTAAAAACTGCTTAGCAGATGCAGTGTTGCTTAGGTATGAGAAACCCTTTAAATTGATGGAGGTCGCTGCCTGTGAGGTGTGATGGGGCCTTGGGGGAGATGAGACTATGGTAATGCCTACTCTCAGATTCATTCTTGAATTTCTTGGGCACACTCTGACCATGACGAATTTTCTTAAAATACATTGCTGATTTTCCTTTTTAAAAGGACTTTTAATTCATGAAATATATTGGCCTTTGGTTTTTTCTTC